GCGCTTGCGGGCGAGCCCTTCACGCACGAGGAGCTTTGTCATCCCGGCCCGGATGGCGCTCCCCTTGCGCTCTCTATATTCCGCCCACCGCAGGAGGAGGATGACGCCGCTTCCGAGGTTATAGCCGGTCGGCCATGCATTGTTTGGACTCACGGGGGCGGAATGCTATTGCGAAATCGCTTCATAGGCCTCAAGGTTCCCCTCGCATGGGCGAAGGCGTGCGGCGCTGTCGTCGTCAGCGTGGAGTATCGCGTTGCGCCAGAACACCTGGCTCCAGCGGCCGTGGAAGACTGCTATGCTGCGCTATGTTGGATATACGACGCCGATAACGCGGAGAAGCTTGGGGTCGATCAAAAGAAACTTCTTCTTAGCGGTGTGAGTGCGCCACCGGGATATGGCAAGCCGGCGGTAGCGCAACGCTGCACGTGTGGGAAGGCATTCACGCGTTCGAAGTCTTGGCACCTACCGCGACCCTGTCGATGTTATCGATCACGACCGGCGGCGCGTGGGTAAAACAAATTTTGGGTAAAGAGGTCGGCACTATTTCGTAAGGCGATTTCTTGATTTACATCGGATATTACTCTAGGTTTATACGCTTAGATTTAGGACCTCTTTTTGTGGCATAATTTGTTTGCACTCTTCTTAGAGAATCTGGAAGTTTCCTTTTTCCCAAAACGCCTCTGTCATTCTAACTACGAACCCTTAGACCTGTTTATCCACTTGAATCCTACGATTATTGTCTATCTTAAAATCAAACCCAAGAAGTTGCGACAGTACTTAGATCTACCGAAGTATAGGTTTGTCACATAAGGATATCTCAACTAGCTGATTCGGCTACCCATAGTACGTAACCAGGTCCGAGATAACCACATTTTATATAGTTATAATGCTTTTCGCCCGACAGGCGTTATTAGGAGGCTGAAAATCCAACTCCTTGACGGAGATGTTATCGTCGGCCGTATTCCGAACCGCTTCGCGGATTCTGCCACTCATTTTGGTATTCGTGCAAACTATTATACCATAAGCAACTCGAGAACAAGCAGGTGTTGTTTTATAAGACATACGGGATATCACAGTCTGTCCTTTCCGCCGTTGCAGCTCTTGGTGAAGGACTTCTTCCACAGGTAAAGCGTCGTATCTCATACTGATACGCTTGCCGAGCTTTTTGCAATCTCCTCGGCTTGTTTCTACCGGCGATAGGAAATCTCCCAGGATAAAAATACGGATATCAAGGACCTAAACCAAGCTTAGCCGTTCGTGTCTAAAGGTATCCGGCGAAGAAAAACGAACCCGATCGGTATCACTTTTCAATAGCATTTGCATTCTATCCGCAACCCAAGCTGTCTGGACTAATATGCCGCTTAGCCAAAAAAAGGTACTCAGCCTAGCCACTATCTCCCGCGTCGCAATACTTACTTTCGGACTCGACTTCCCAGAACAGCGCTATCCTTCGGGTTTTAACCTCGCAATTTTGGTATCCCGTCAGCAGGTGCTCGACGTAGGGTAGCTGGCCTGCTATCCCTATGCCCGTCGCGAACAGAAGCACGGTGCCGTATAGATCGAGGCGGAGCTCCTTTCCGTACGGGCCCTCTACCAGTGCCATCATGTCCGAAGCGCAGTCTACGTCATTGCCACGGCGTGAGAATAGGCGTCTGCTGAAGCCCCGCTGCTTCTGGACGATGAGGACGGCATAGTCGTTGCCGCGGTCCCGATGCCGCCAAGCAACGTAAAACGGGTGTAGCTGCGCGAAAGAGGTACGGCTCGCACCGGGCACGGAGAGGTAGATGTACTGACCCGCGCGAGGCTTCCACTTCCTGGGAAGTCGGACGTGTACGTGGACAACATCTGGCACGGGGAGATCCGTTTCGCAAAGGCTGGCCGCGTCATCCGACCGACTTCGTGTAGGAGGACGCCAGAACTTAATTGTCCGTATGGATGCCCGACCTAGGGGGCGACGATATCGAACGTTTTGGTAGAGGACGTGGGAACAGCGCAACATCCCGGAAGCGATTTGAAGACAGACGGCGGTAAACAAGTAGCGCGTCGGCGATGCGAAGAGAGGGGCGGGACTATGGA